GGACCGGGTCTGGGCACAGCTGTGGGCGTCCGCTTAAGGTGGATTGCTCAAAATAGGGTCTCCTTACACCCCTGACTGGAGGCCCTTCCCAAATAGGCCACAAACCAGCCACACAGAGAGCTTCAGCTGCTAGCCTGGCCAGCCAGAAGCCCCATGAGCAAAACCCCTCCAACACCCCAGCTCTCCCTGTGCCCCAATCAGTCCCAGGTCTACACACAGGTGAGGGGTTATAGAACCCAATCTTAACAGGTTCTTGCAAGAAACCAGCCACAGTTCCCAGGTTAATTTACACTCTGGATCTTACCCTCAAGATCACGCTGAGCCAATCCTTTAGAATCTAAAATCTAAAGGTTTATTACTAACAGGAAGAAAAGCATGAGAGTAAGGCTGTTATAGGATAATACATTACATGCATCGAATCACCCAGTGCTCGATGCAGGCTCTTAGCAGAGATGTTATAACTGCTAGCTTAAAAGATTCTGGTGTACTTCAGGATGGGTCCACAGTTCTTTCCAGCTTATGGTTCCCTGCAATGCTGCCTGTTGGATCAAGAGCTGAGCTGAAAACCAGAATGGAGGGTGCCACATGGCACTTATATCCCTCTCCTGGCATCTTCTTGGCTTCAGCTGGTCACCTGGTCAGTGGCCTATCCCTGTGTTCCATGCTGGTAGCCCTTAGGTATCAGTCACATTTCTGAGATGTGTATTGTCACCTAGAGATTCATTGGCTCCTTGCTAATTAGCCTAGCCATTGGCTGAGCATTCCTTGCAGAGTACATGTTTATAACTCTACATACAGATATTATACAAGTACATGAAGAGCATACACAGAATCAGTAGAACACAAGCTTTCATCTGACTCCTCGCATGGCCCCCTATGCATGCACTTTTGGGGCAAACACCCCCCCCCCTCCGCCCCGGGTGCAGCAGTTATCTGGCTGCTCCCCTTAAAATCCAGTAATGTGACAATTCCTCTTTTTTCTTTTTTCAAGCTCTTTTAACAGGGCTGCCCCCCACTCTGGCACTCTGAATGCAGGGGTGGGGGGAGGCCTGCAAAGAGCTCAGAAAAAACCCCAACCCTTTGCCGCTACAGATAGTGGTACAACAATTTCCGCCCAGAATCATAATACACAGATTTTGGGGAATCGCTGCCACCATCAAGTGATTTTTATCCCTAAAACACCAGGGGTAAACACTTGAACCCACCCCTGACGTATCCCAAGCTCTTTTGTTCTAAAAGAACTTGAAAGCGGTAGATTATCTATGCCAACAGGAGATGTTCTGTCAGTAAAGGTATTGTCTACACTGAAGTGCTATACCAGTGTTGTTCTAGCTCTACATCTGTGCTGCTGTTACAGTTACAAATGTAGACAAATCCTTTGTATTCTAAATCCTATTGAAAATAAATGGGACTTGGAATCTTCTGAAATTTTTACCCAATTATTCTATTTGCATGCTTATTGGTAGTAATTACATATGCATATTAAGCACTCATTTTTAACATGTGATTGTGTGCTCACGTTTTTGAAAGTCAGGTCTTTAATCTGTTGCATACCTATCACTGCTCATAATATATTTTTACTCATAAATTAGTGTCTATTTAACTCTTAATAACTCCTTTAATCTTAATTTATGTGTCATAGGGATCTTTAGCATTTTTCTCACTACTATCTTTCCTGTTATTTTTCTTCTCTCTCTCTGCTTCTGAATGCTATTTTTAGACTTCAGAACTAAAGTCTTTGATATTCTTGGCACTCATGCATTTAAATGATATAATTGACTGGATGATTGTGATTAGACAAGGGTAACATAGTCAATACATTTCCTGAAATATTTTTTCTTGAAGCAGAAAAAGACGTGTGTGAGGACTGAAAGCAGAAATTAACTTAGGCTATAATCCTGCTGGTCATGTGAGGATCCACATTGGCTGTGTTAACACTACATTCGTACAGAGTTAAGCTATTTACATGATCAGCAGCTTAATAGAATGTCTCTTGTTTTCTAGTTGAATTAACATCTGATTTAGAGGCTAAGAGGCAATGGGTGATTTTTTTAACAGTATTTTTAAAAAAAATATATTAATAGTACACAAAAATTAAAAAAAACCCTCATGCTTTGCAGTTACATAACACTTTCCACTTGAGCATTTCAAAGAGCTTTACAGAGCTAAAGTAGGTAAACCGCAACACCTCTGTGAGGGTATGTCTACACTAGCTCGTTAGTTTGAGCTAGGTAGGGTAATTAGGGCAAGTGGAGTTGCAAATGAAGCCTGGGATTTAAATATCCCAGGCTTCATTTGCATGTTCCTGGGTGCCACCATTTTTAAATCCCCCTTAGTCCAAATTCCGTGCCCGCGGCCACACGTGGCATGGAGTAGGTAGTTCAAATTAAAGATCCTAATTTGAACTACCGTTACTCCTCATTCCACGAGGATGTAGACTGCACTAGTTTGATGGGAGAATTCTCCCATCCACACAGCTTCTGCCTCTTGGGGAAGCCATATACCTGTACTGATGGGGAAAGCTCTCATGTTAGCATAGATAAGGTCTTCACTGAAGTGCTCCGGTGGCATAGCTGCATTCCACTACAAAATTTTATATCTAGACCTGCCTTACATCTCCTGCTTTAAATTGTATGATTATTATTTTTTTTCATTATTACTAAAAAGCTACCTTTATAATTCAACTTAATAGCAACATTTTTACCATAAATTTAGCTTTCAGTGTATTAACAATATGGGAGATAATTTTAGACTAAGTGTTTACTAGACAGTATTTAACATACTGGTATGAAGTTTATAACAGCCATGTTCTTGGTAGGATATATTTTGGTACCAGTCACTTTTGGTCATTCTATAGTAGGAGTAGTTGTGACTATGTATAATCTGAAGCTTCCAGTCTGCCTCTTCCCTTTCACCTGAGTTTCAGTTGTTCATAACTTTCTCAAACCAATTCATTCTAGGCCAGAATTTTCCATGGTTGGCGTTGGATCAAATATAGTTTTTTTTTCTTTTAAAAGTTAAGAAACACGTTCTTAAATAAATCTATTAAAATATATATTCTGTTCCCAGAAGCCATGACAATGATTGCCTATTTTCATATTTACAAAAATAAGATGTAGTTGACACATAACATAAGAGTAAACACAAAGGGACTGACCAATTCACATAGGTCAGACATGTATTGCTGGGAAGTAGGTGATATGAAACAGGTTTAAATATTGTGACTTTATAACGTGTACATATTATTTATAGTCTCTTCCATGTGAAATCAGTGGCTAAACTATTCCTCACTCAGGTGTTAGAGTGCACTTACTAGAGACACTTAGGTCTAGATTGTAATCTCATATACACTAAGCAAATCCAGGAAAAAGCCCTCACAGTGAAATCTATAGTTACACTGCTGTGAAACCAGTATAAGTGAGATGCAAATCAGTGTTTAAATCAGTGAATTATTTACCTGCTTACCATATCTTGCTGGAAAATAACATGTTATATATTTTAATGTGACAATGTTATTAATATAGGGTTATTTATTATACGTTTCTTAGGTATTTCTTAAGATGATGGGCTCTAAAGGGAAACTCAGCAAAACACGTTTATATAAGAAAACTGGATCTACTATATCTCAACAAACAACTGTATTTAAATTCTCCAAAGGGTCAATTAACACCTTTAAAATTCATGGTCCAGAAATTGGAGAAATCAAAAACATCACCCTGGAGGTAACAATTTTTTGTGATTTTGCTTAGAGGAGGAAATATATATGATTTTATAACTCTGAATGTGTCACTTATATACAACATTTTAAATTGAAGATCACATAATTAAATACAAAGCTAAATGAAATTACAGCTTGATAGACCAGAGATGAGTTGGAGGAAAAATAAATTGTGGCTCACAGCTTCTATGCATGGTATGCAAAGGTATGAAAAGATGATAAAAGCTGAGTGTTATCATGATAATATCAACATGTAAGGCTACAGATTTAAGAAGTCCTGCATGGGAACAGCAAATCAATCTTACAAATTAGGAGACAAGGTATAGCAGTGACAGAAACCTTGTGATCGAGATAAGTTGCAAAACTGTGACTCTGATCTCCGTAGCACTAGCCACCGTCACTTGACTTGATGGAGTTACTAGCAGCAGTAGAAGGTTGTTATCTTCTATGGGGACAAGCAACTAAAGGGGGAACCAACACACATTTTGAGTGTTTTTCATAAGTATTTGCTACACAAGGGAGGAATGTAAAGAATCAAGGATCCTGGATTAATTCCAAGTGAGTTTTAGTGGCTATAGATCCTTCTGTGCCTGTCTTAGTTGTCCTAGCCCTCCTCCTGCTTCTGTCCCTCAGCTTATCATTTATGACAAGGACACGAGAAGAAGAAATGGGGAGGAGCAATTGCAGGAAAAATCTTGCACCGCTCCTGAAGTTCTGGGTTGGAGCTCTGTGGGAGTGACACATGTGAAGCCCAGTCAACCCATAGGAGCTCTATAGAGATGGAGAATACCTTGTGCAGATGGAATGTTCGGAGACTTTACCTGCCAGCCTTTAACAAAAATTCAGCAACATTCATATGTGAATTGTGACTTTCAGGGGCTTACAACTCCGAGAAATTTGGATATTTTTCCCAACAATGGTAAAAGATACATTCCTGACCCTGCCAAATTTCAAGCCCTAACAAGTCCCCATCCATTGGTTAGAAAATATCTAAATGAAATGTTAAGTCTTGTGGTGTGTTCCATAGGTGTTAAGATTAGCGTATGTGTATGCATGGGTAGTATAGGGACATTCTGGCATGCAGATGTACGCATAGACCTTGCATCCCTGTAATCTCATTTTTTTAAGGCTTTGACTGTTTCTGTCTAAGCATGATGGTCTAGAGAAGCAGCATGCCTGGTACGTGGAGGAGATAACTGTGACCAGTGCAAGCCGTGAGAAGATATGGCGCTTCCTATGTCGACAGTGGTTATCATTGTATCACACTGACTGCCAGATCAGCCGCACCTTTATGCCCACAGGCAAAGGCAAACTCACTGTTCCGGATGGAAAACCTGATCATACAGGTAAGCCACATACTGCCCTTTCTGCAAGCTGCAGGGAGGAATTCTTTCATGGTTCTTTCTGCCAGTGCCCAGGTACACCCCAATGTGCAATGTTCAGTTTCTTGGTAGTAATATTTCATGTAAGCACGTAGCAGGGATACATTCATTTTATCAACACTCCACCAGTTATCTATATCTAACTGCGCGCATGGGAAAGGTAATGTGAAATATAATGCAGCTGCCTTGCACATTAGCCTGAAATCTGTTGCTGTGTGCAGCTTATGTACAGGACATATTATATTCGTTGTGAAAGTTTATTGCCTGCTTGATTTAGTGCCATGTTTGTATCTGGCAATCTAAGCACTATTGACTGCACTATTATTTAATTCCAATCTGTGAGTGAGAGGCAACTCATGCATGTACTTCTTCTTGTGAACTGACACACTGATTTTCCTGAGTTGTGTGTATCCACGTGGGTTGCTATAGAATCTGTGAACCCAGGCAAAGGATACGGAGTTAACTAGGCTTAAATACATAATTGTTATTCTGACTGAAAATGTCGGCTTCTGGACCCCATCAGTGTGTTTCTTCGTAAAAACACAGAACAGCAGTAGCAAATTTACTACCTGGAAAACAGATAACAAGCTTATTCTCTTCCCTAATGTGGTTTGTTTTGTTAAAACTGCTCAGTAAACTTTATGGGGTTTTGTTCTATTTAATTTGCACACACACTCCCAGTGCCTGGGCATAGTAACCATAACAATCTCCCAGGTGATCTATACAAACTCAGAACCACCACAAGGAAGCAAGTGAAACTATCGTTAAGAAAGTGAATGTGTACAATGATGCTGTAGCTGTGTTGGTCATGGGCTATTAGAGAGGCAAGGTGGGTGAGGTTTTATCTTTTATTGGACCAGCTTCTGTTGGTGAGAGAGACAAGCTGTCGAGCTTACAGAGCTTTTTTTTCAGGGCTTGAGAGCTCTATGTAGGCTTGAAAGTTTGTCTCTCACCAACAGAAGCTGGCCTGATAAAAGAGATTACCTCACCCACCTGGTCTCAAGAAAATGAATGAGCATTCTATTATTGGCTCTGCCAGAGCTTCCTGTATGGTCTTGGGCAAGTCACTTAGGTCACAGTCATGAAACGTTTGTCGCTTATCAAATTGCTGGACAGGGGAGCCAATGGACTTGCCAGACCCCTTGGCAAGGTGGGTGTGGGGGAGCTCAGTGCTCCCAGAAAGGGCGGAGCCTTTGGCAGAAGGGGCGTGGTGGGGGCAGTCAGCCTTCAGAACTGCCCAGAGTGTGCGGTGCAGCCCTCAGGTGGCAATTTAAATGCTGCAGCCTGCAGGACATTTGCCCCTTTGCTCCCTGCTGTCAGTGGGCCTGGGACTAGACTTTCAGAGGTATTGAGCCTCCCCATCTTCCGTTTTTCCCAGGACGCCTGTAAATCAAGGGGAGTTGCATAGGCAGACCACCTTTGAAAACCAAGCCACTTATTTAGTGCCAGCTATTGAATCACTAACACAGCTTTCTGCAGTGCCTAGCAGATCTCAGATGTTTATAGACTGAGTTGGATATTCCCACACATGCACCCCACCCAGCCCTGCTTAGCTTGGGAAGTCTGATGAGATTGCTATCGAAAGCGGTACGATTGCAGTTTATTTTGATGCGGCTCTAAGTGCTTGAATAACATCTGTGCTAAAGGTCAGACGCCAGCTGTGACTCTCAGCATTTTGCCTAGTTTTTTATTCACAGTGAAGTGAGTAAAGGGGGGTGGGAGGAAGTCAGTTTAACTGTACTTTGCCTGGGTGCGTCACATCTTATTTTTCTGGCAATATTGACATGTGGTGGGGCGGATTCACACCAGGTCTGTCTGCGGTGGAAAGGCTGCCAGAAGCAGTATTGAGGCAGGTGCAAATGTTGGGAAAAGGCTCAGGCCAGTCTCCAAGCTTCCTATATATGTGCAGCTGGCCTCATAGACTACTTGATTGGTTAATAGATTGTCTCTTAAGCCCAGAAGCAGCTGCAATTCAGCATTTACCCATGTCTGTGACTGTGCCTATTTGTTCCCACCCTTGCTCCAGGCAATCGGGTTCTGATTCTAAGAGCTGATTTCTGACCTCTGACTTTGGCTATGGCATCTGACTCTGGACTCTGATTCCTGGTTACCAATGCCTGCTCTGACTACTAGCTGTGACTACTTACCTGCCAGTCATTGGCTGCAGTCCGGGGCTTCAAGTAGTAGCAACTGGCTGCATGGCTTAATCCCAGGAAGGGTTTAAAGTTTTGTGTGATGGCTTTCAGCACCCAAAGGCTGTGTCTAGACTTGCAAGTTTTTCCACAAAAGCAGCTGCTTTTGCGGAAAAACTTGCCAGCTATCTACACTGGCCACTTGAATTTCAGCAAGAACACTGACTTTCTACTGTCTGAAATCAGTGCTTCTTGCGGAAATACTATGCTGCTCCCGTTCGGGCAAAAGTCCCTTTTGAGCAAAAGGGCCAGTGTAGACAGCTCAGATTTGTTTTACGCAAAAAAGCCCCGATCGCGAAAATGGCAATCGGGGCTTTTTTGCACAAAAGCACGTCTAGTTTGACCAGGGATGCTTTTCCGCAAAAAGTGCTTTTGCGGAAAAGCGTCCGTGCCAATCTAGACGCTCTTTTCTGCAAATGCTTTTCCGTTAAAAGCATTTGCGGAAAATCATGCCAGTTTAGATGTAGCCAAACTGTAAACATTGTTCCAGTGCCCATGAAGACATCTAGGGCATGATCTGATTTGACACATGAACTCAGCAATCTCTGGGGGCAGGCTGTCATGGGGACCTCTGCAGAACCCCAAACTGCCCAGGAAGGGGAAGGCAGTGTTAAAAGTGGTGCCTACATGCCTCAGAAGTGAATCCCCTGTAGATGGCACTGACCAGGCAAGCCTGGAAGGTGTAATTTGCACCTCCTTCGGCCAGCAGATGTGATCTTGCCTGCTTTCTTTTTACATTTTAACAAAGGAAAATCAGAAAGGGCGGAGTCAGGGTTCCCATTGTGAACAAGGCTTGTTATTATGAACCTTAATTGGCTGTCAGGTCAGCTTCAGTGCACTGACTATAAATAGGCATTTCCTGGCTTTATTTATTAATTGGGGGTAAGTATTTAAAGGTTATTGTCCAGGGCTGCAAGCGCTCTTGGAGCAGGTGTTGGCAGCACTGTAGAAATGTACAGCATCTCTTGGGCTACCACATTTTCCAAAGTGGGAGGCAGCAGAGTGCTTTTATAAGGCTGGGACTTTCAAAAGAATCTCAGGTAATTAGGCACTTGAATCCCATTGACGTTCAGTGGGAGGTGGGAACTCTCACAGGTCCAGCTGAGTGCCCCTGCCTGGCTGCTCCCCAGAATGCTGTGAGGGGACCTAGCTTCTGAACCCCTGCACTGACCCTGTCTGAGGATCCCTGTATACACACCTGAGGTACAGATTGTCTCCGGAGAGCTGCAGCCATGTGCCCCTCTCCTAGCCTAGTGGTCCCCAAACTTTCCCCCTTCCAGTAACACAGGCATGTCCAAAGTCCGGCCCGCGGGCCAATTGCGGCCCGTGTTCCGGTTTAATACGGCCCCACAGGTAATTTGGCAATATCTATCTTTTATGGCCCCCAACGAATCCATATGTATTGAGATGAATACATTGTAAAATCTCAGTTAATGTCAGTTGGTCTAAATCAGTTATAAATATATTTGGACACAACATGTATACTTGGTGTTATGTTCCTGTTCATATTTTTTGAACTTAAAAGTTGACAGACAACCTTTATTACCAATAATATGTAATGTACTTTACAATGTTCCTGACATATATTTCAGCTTCCTGGATTTTTTTTCATCTGGCCTTCAGATATGAAAAGCAGAGTGATTTAACACCTGTTTAGATTTGCCATCCATGTGATGAAATGAAAAGTATGCCGTTTGCAATAAACTTTGCATAAAATAGTTAATTTGCATTTAATTTTAATGGTTCAAAGAATGTCAGGCAAAATGGTCGGCCCTCACGCATGTTCACTTCATCAAATCTGGCCCTCTTTGAAAAATGTTTGGACACCCCTGCAGTAACAGAATGTTTGTGCCCTCCTCTCCCCCTGGTCTGGGAGTGGAATCACAGCCCAGCTGTGACCCAGAGAGCTGGCTGCCAGGAGCCGGCAGCTGAGAGGAGCTGGGGCAACAGCTGCAGCCAGAGGCTGGAGCAGAGTTGTGGACCAAGTGGGGCTTGGTGGTGTCCCCTCGCCACTCTATTGTGGGAGATGGCCCAAGCCCCACCATGCCCCCAGACATTCCTCTGTGTTCCCCCAGAGTTTGGGGACCGTTGGCCTATCTCCTGGTGCTGAACCCTCAAATTCCCTCCCTGCACCTTCTCCCAGAACTCCAGCTATGTGAGTATTATGGGCCCATGGTTTGCTGCCTCAAGAGGTATGTGGCCAGTGTAACTGGTAACTCGCAGGCTTTACAAATGACTTTAATATCACTTAGACACAAGAAATACACAGGTACAAAAATAATAAGTACTGCACATGTTCCCCTGCCTCAGCTTCTCCACCACACCATCTTCTTTGGACTGGGCTCAGAGTTGTCTGGGGCCATGCAGAGACCTTCTGCTGCAGTGTCTATCTGGTGTCCTGACACAGAAAGATGCTCTTTCCCCAGCTTGGTTTCTGACTCTGGCTGCTCTGTCCTTTCCTCTCTCTTGCCCAACACTCCCTGTGCCTGTCCTAGAGAGTCCCTCTGGTTTCTCTGTCCCACCACTAACACCTGGTCCCTTTGTTCTGCTGCTAAGCCTGGAAACCCAGCCCCTCACTGACAAGCTGTAGGAAGTGAATTCACCTAGCTTCAGCCAGTCTTCTTAGTGTATCCATTGACTGGACAAGGTACAACTGTCTTATTCCTACTCTGCTGTGTATGTATTAACTATAGGCCATGTCAGTCTCTGGTGGATACACAAACATAGACGTTTTCCATATTACAGCAGTGTTCATAGTAATGACTTCATAAT